TAAAAGCTGGTGTTGTGCTGCTGAAAGGATCTGATGGGGAAGATTTTCTGATGAGAGAAACGAGCCACTTGTTGAGGCCTTTAAATCATTTTATCCCTTTAAATGTCAGAGCATATTCATTGTGATGTTTTAAATTAAGACTTAATGTGTGTGTGTGTGTGTGTGTGTGTGTGTGTGTGTGTGTGTGTGTGTGTGTGGGGGGGGGGGTCAATATTTTTTGCAGAAATCTAAACTGAGTGTATTTTTGTCTGCAACACGCAATGATTATATTTCCTTCAGCTCTGTGCGCACCTCTGGAGTCCACATCTGGTTTGTGAATTTGCACCAGTGTTTGTGACAAACAGCCTGCAGAATAGGAAGAAAAACAGCTTTTTTGTTGTGTGAGGATGCCTGCCTTTGAACTCAAAGACCACACAGCTCAGGCCGCAGCACAACCTGACACAACACAACACAACAAAGCCATGTCAACATGCCTCTCATTGACCTTCTGTTTGAATTGTGGAAACTGAAGTAAAGTCTTTTCCTGTCATTTTCTTTACTTCTGAGCTCTCCTGAAACAACAAGCCTCACGACAGGTTTAAGACTTAAGACAAAAACTATGTTTGGCTCAGTGGCTTTCTTCAAATTTTCCTCACAAGAAGCAGAAATGATGCAGTTCATGGTTAAACACAATCTCAAATTCATAAAAAAAAACATCATCAGGTATTTACTGTAAGTTATTTAGTTAGAGTAGAATAATTTAGACTGATGGTGTTAGCCATACAAAATAATAATAATAAAATATTAAACTATCTCCTTGTTTATTGCATCTTTCTTCTAAACAATACCTGTCAGCTGATTTATATATTGTTCTAATATAAATGAACGAGTAAATGTCACTGATCATGTCCACAAAATGTGTAAATAGTTCCTCTTCATATCTCTTAAAACCTACTTCACTCGTGTGTTTTTTAATTTAATTACATTTATTTTCATTATATGTCATTTTATTTTATGTTTTTCATTTTAATGCCACCAAATTAGTCCTTCACTATCAAAATTGAGACTGGAAATGGCAACAGTCCTCTTTAGTCGTGGACCCACTAAGACTTGACAATCTGGYAGGAAATAAACTTTTGTTCCCCCAACTGGGACTATTTGAGAGCCATTTACAACAGGTAAGATATTGAYTGTTCATAACTTCTCCACAGTCTCACACATAAGTACCATTAATTAAACAATCTGAACTATCCATTTAATGTTTTCTACAAAAAAAAACATGTCATTTATGAGCTTTAGGTCGTTAAAGTTTGTGTTTGTCTCTTTTTAGATTACAGCTAAATCCCTGCCTTCATTCAGACATTCAGCATAAATTATTCTCCGTCACTTTTTTTCTTTTCTTTTCTTTCTTTTTTTTAAGTCTCGGCTTGAGCGACTGTATTTGTGAAGAATCTTCTGTTCTGTGTCTCGTGCTTACCTTGCAGATTTCCTTCAGTGTGCAGGAAGATGAAGACATTTTAGCTCCACAGTTCCAGATGTCGCCTCTCTCTGCTGTAAGATCCAAACTAACAGAACTGTTYGTCTCTGAAACTGTGAAGCCTCACATCTGGATGATTACAGATGTGACTCCAAAGTCTCACTGATTCAAGATTTTACTCTTTTTTTTTTAAATGTCTACAAATTACTGATCRTGTTTGTTGGACAACCTGTTAAAAACAATGGAGTTCTGAGAGGACTGCAATTTATTTTTGCTTTTATGAAAACAAAAATGAGGAGAAAACTACCTGCACTCTGTTGYTTTTCTGTTTGTCTTATGTTATTTGCAATCTAACTGCAAACTACTTCTGTATATTCAACTCAAAATGTGTATCTTCTTGCTATTCTGTTTTTTTAGCTACATTTTTTTTTAGTTTTTAGTCACTATTTCACAACT